CATCCACTGTGGATCTACTTTTTTCTTGTTCCATCCAACTCAAGGCAACCAAAGTCAACAACCTTCAGACCCAAGGAATTGGACCCAGAGACACAATTTGGCAACTTTAAACACAGAAGTCACATCAAGGCCTCCATTTCCTTGGCTAAAACTACCCATGGACACGTGTCAGATCCTGCCACAGTCTGTGGAAGCCAAACCACAGGGAGTTCCCCAGTCTTGGCCCAAGGGACTGGAGAACCTCTGGGTGGTGGAGGGCACTGAGAAGCTCCCACTCCATTGAACTGTGGGATTCTAAGCTTGGTTTTCCAGCACAAGCTCAAGGAGATATTTCCCAGGGACAAGACCTTCTGCAGAATCTCTGCCTCTCTGCCTTTAGTTCTGGCTTTAGTCCCGTGCAGGAGTGACAGATCTCTGGGAGGGGTGGAATCCTGGGACAGAGGCTCAGCTGCTGCAGAGCCCCCAGTGCTGTCTGGAGGGTCTGTGCTGCTGGAGCACATCCAACTCCACAGGCACAGCGGGACCTGCCCGTGCAGCTCAGGCCAGAGGTGCCCAAAGCAAAGGCACAGGGAGCAGCTGCTGGCCCAGGGTGAGGCAGGACCCTGCACCCCTTCAGTGTCCCCTTCAGTGTCCCCTCCCCTCCTGCTGCACCTTGGGCCTTATTGCACAGAACCATAGATCCATAGAACACTTTGGGATGGGAAGGACCTTAAAACCCATCTCATTCCACCCCCTGCCATGGGCAGGGACACCTCCCACCAGCCCAGGTTGCTCCAAGCCCCATCCAACCTGGCCTTGGACACTTCCAGGGATTTCAGGGGCAGCCACAGCTTCTCTGGGCAACCTGTGCCAGGGCCTGCCCACCCTCACAGGGAAGAATTTACCTCTAACATCTAATCTAAACCTTTCTCTTTCAGTTTGAAGCCATTTCTCCCTGTTCTGTCAGTGCAGTTCTGATGAACAGTCCCTCTGTGGCTTCCCTGGAGCCCCTTCAGACACTGGAAGGTGCTCTGAGGTCTCCACACAACCTTCTCTTCTCCAGGCTGAACGCCCCAGCTCTCTCAGCCTGTGATTCCATAAGGCCCAGCTCTTCCACAGAGTGATCCACACCAAAACAGCTCGAAATGATAAAATTCCGGGCAGAAAATCTCCTCCCAAAGCAGATACCTGCCCTGGACAGCTGCTTCTCTCCATGGAGGCATCTAAGGGCTGGTCCTGAAAAGCCATCACCCAAATACCTCTCACTCAAACCAGCCTTGTGTTTTATGTCAACACATCTTCTCCCAGGCAGAACCCACCAGTTCAACAAATAGGGGAAGGGAATGAAGCCCCATCCCAAAGAATATTGATTGCCTGATGAGGACAGAGCTGTCCCAGGGTGCAGAAGGGATGTTTGCTGCCTGTGGGCCATCTAGGAAGGGCTTTTTTCAAGGACTCCTGAAAAAATTCCAGAGTCACATGCAGGGAACAAGAGGTCCACTTTCAAAGCATTGTCAAGCATAAAAAGGACTGTTTGATCAAAAAGCTGCAACTTAGGAAAGGTGCCCTGTCACTTATACCTAGAACTGGCTTTGGAAGTTGCCTGATTTCCTGCATTTTCCTCTTCAATGAAGTTTTATTATTCTGTTCTTTCCTGTTGGGTGTGAGAATTTATAATACATGCCTCATTCAACCTACTTCAGCTAATCTCTGTCAGTGGATTCAGCAGCCTCGAGAACAAGCACAGTCCTCTCTTAGCCCTTTTCACCCTAATTAAGATGCTCTTCAGCATCTCCTTTCTCTTCTTCCCTCGGGTGGTACCTAATTAGGGCTTCTAATTAAAGCTGCACCCGAGGGGCTGGGCTTTGCACAGATGTTGGGATCAGTCCAGGCAACACCACGGAGCTCCTGCCAGGCTCAGGTTGTCCCTCAGCACTTGGTGGGACTGAGGGGCTTTGTAGAACATCCCTGGCAGAGCTCAGCTGAGGTTCTGGGATCAGGGCCCTGGGGGAGTTTTCTGCATGTCTGGCCCGTGGCATTTTTAAGCTGGTTTTCCAGACACGTCGACTCCTGTGGAACTCACCAGTGAGTCCAAAGGTTCCTCACGGGAATTTGGGGAACCTGCCTTGGAAGATTTTCCATCATTCATCCCCATGTCAAATCTTTCACTATTAGTTGATCTTAGGGCCCCAAAAAAGCAACAACCCACCCACAATGATCAGTTCCAATTTTCTCTCCCCCTGTTTGGATGTCTTTTTTCAAGCCCACATGCTGTAGAAAGGCTGAAGAGTATTTTTTGTGGTCCTACCTCCAGCAAATATGATGCTTCTCACACCCCAAACAGGGATGTTCATTCTCTGGGACCAAGGGCTGACCAAAGTCAGAGTTCCTTTGTGCCTTAAGAAAGATAAATAATAGGTTGAACCCAAGGCTTGCTCAACAGACACTCCAGATAGTGGGGAAATCTTTCCTGGGAAGTGCATGAATGTCCAACAACCCCTCAGCTTCCTCATTCACACCACCTGAGATCAGTCCAAGCAGGACATCATGGGAATTACCCAAAACAGGCAAAATTCTCAGGCCTGTCCTGGAGCTGGGCTGAGCAGAAGAGGAGAGGATTGCACCTCAGGTGTTACATACAGGACATTTGCAGTGTTTCATTGTTTCCTGTAATTCAAGGTCCTTCTGATCATGGACCTTTGTCATTAAATCCATAGACACAGTGACTTACTGTCACAGGAACCTCTGAAGGAATGTGCTTTTCACACCCAGCCCCAGGGTGGAGGCTGGGCCAGGGGAGATGCAGCTCAGCCAGGAAGGGCAGTGGGGAAGGAGGGGGCTGCAGGGCTGGCCAGGAAGCCCTGGAAACCAACAGAGAAATTATGGAATCATGGAATATCCAGAGCTGGAAGGGACACACAGAGATCATCCATCCAACCCCTGGCCCTGCACAGACACCCCAACAATCCCACCCTGGCCCTCAGAGCGTTGTCCAAACCCTCCTGGAGCTCTGGCAGCCTTGGGGCTGTGCCCACTGCCCTGGGGAGCCTGGGCAGTGCCCAACCAGCCTCTGGGGGAAGAACCTTTGCCTGAGATCCAACCTGAGCCTGCCCTGACACAGCTCCAGCCCTTCCCTGGGTGCTGTCCCTGCTCCCCCAGAGCAGAGATCGGAGCTGCCCCTGGGGAGGAGCTGCAGCCCCCTCTGAGCTCTGCCCTCAGCCTGCTCTGCTCCAGCTGCACACACCAAGTGCCCTCAGCTGCTCCTCAGGGCCCCTCCAGACCCTTCAGCATCTTCATAACCCTCCTTTAACTGATGGCTTTTTAACTGCACTTACTCAAAAAATAACAACATCAAACCCAACCAGCCCCTGTCAGCTCTGGGGGGCACAGGAGGGGACGTGGGTGCTCTGTCCCTGTGTGACACCCACGGTCACAGAGCTGGGAAGAGCATGGGAGGCAAAGGGCTCAACCTTGGGAAAACACTTCCAGGATCCCTTGGCACGAAGATCCAAGCTGGTCTGAGCACCCACAACCCCAAGTGCAACAACCTGGGGATAACTTTGTCTCAGTACCCCCATAGACATCTAGAGAGGAGGAAGGTGTTTAAGTTAAAGAATGTTTAATCTGATGGATTCACTTTGAGCTGAAATTTGCTCAGGACCATTCCCAACCTCTCCATTCCCACCCAGCTCTGCTGTGCCACTCCCTTTTCCCAGTGCTTTGGGCCATCTGGATTTCTCTCCCTTCGCCCACCACCCCCCAGCCACCAAATAAGGAAGAAAAAATCATATTGACTTTTGTCATTATTTATTACAAATTATAATTTGAAAATTACTGTCTAAAAAAAAATCAATAGATTTAAATAAATATACAGATTTCAGGATGCTACATATGGCAAGTGTGCAGTAAGTCACTTAAGGATGAGACATTATCCACACAAGGAGAGATACATAGTATTCAACAGCAGTAGTTTTATTTTAAATTACTCAGCTCACATTAAACCATGTGCAAAGTTTCCTCTGGAACAAATCTTTTCAGGATTTATTTTTTTTTTTTTAGAACGACTCCAACCTTCAGAAAGTCAAATATAAAAAAGATTCTCTGCAGCTTTGGGGACCAAATGATTCATTTGCTGTTTCGTTTATGATACAATCAGTTGGTCTCATTTTTTCCCCCTCCAGGGCTTAGAGCAAAATCAAGGAATTATTTTTGCTGTCCAACGGGACTACACTTGCAACAGCCACAGATTTTGGTCCACCACCAACTTCCAGCAGCCTTTAGAAATGCTCCTGTGTAATACTGGATTGGGCAGCAAGAGGGACCCAACCGTGGTTCCAGAGGAGCAGTGATTCCCCTGCACTGCCCAGAGCTGCAGCCTCTGTTTCCAATGGAATTAATCTGCCCAGGCAAAGAAAAGTGCATTTGTGATACAGCTCCAGAGCCTTGAGACTGTGTTTGCCTGCAGGATTGGTTTCTAGGTCCTGGGCTCAGGGTTTTTCCCAAATTCCCCTCTCCCTCCTGTGTTGCTCCATGGCTCTGGCATGGCTTTCAATCCCAGCCTTTCTCTGTGCACACAGGGCTGTGCTCCCCTACGGAATCACAGGAAGGTTTGGGTTGGAAGGGACCTTAAAGTTCATCTGGTTCCAACCCCCTCTTCTTCCCAGTCCTCCCTTCCACATCCATCCTGTCTGGCTGCCCTTTGCATTCCCGATCCAGGTTCCAATTCCCACAGTGACCTGCTATCCATGCACTGTATTTATTACACAGAGCCCACCTCAGAGCCCTGATCTAAGCAAAGCAGCAAGCAAGCCTTTGGATCTCCCCATCCCACACACACCTCTCTGCCTCCAGCCCCTCCTTCCAGGCACAGCTGGAACAAAGCTGGGATGTCAGGCTGGGAGCTGGGAGTGCCCTGCCCCACTGAGGGAGCGTCCAGGGAGATGAGATGGACTCCCAGCCCTGAGCTGACCCAGAGCAGCAGCTCGGGCCGGGCAGGGCTCCCTCCTCTGGCTCTGCTGGGGCTCCTGCAGACACAGCTCCCCCTCAGCTCCCCACCCCGGGCCTGCTGGCAGGGTCACGCTTGGATTTGGTGCTGGCTCTGGTGTGAGCCACCCTCCACCTCAACTACAGCCCCTCAAGGACCTCAGGGAAAACTCCCTTCAGTGAATTTCTCAGCCAGGGAGTGCCACTGACCACTCAGTTGGCTTCCAGGCTTCTGCATTATCCATATTTTTAATACAAACTGGGAGCTGGTTCAGCCTGGGAGTCTCATTCACAGGCACTGACTGTGACAAGAGAAAATAGTGCAAAGTTGGGCTCAGGTTGGAGGCAGCTCATCCCCGAGCACCAGGACCAGCCAAAGCAGCTCTGAGTGGGGCCGAGCTGGGCCCTGCTCACCCCCAGCTCCAAGGCAGAGCAGAGCAGGCTGGAGACACGGGCTCAGTGCTGGCACATCCAGAACTGCACAGAACCACCCGGGCTGGGATTCCACCCTCTGCCCGCCACTCCAGAGCAGAGTTAAGCTCGTACTCTTCCAGCAAGACCCTTGCCTGATCCAAAAAGGCACAGTTCAGCTCCACAACACATCTAGGACTGTATAGAGAGAGAGTTTTCCCTTTACAACAGTCTCTGGAGTACAGGCAGTGCTGGGTCAGCGACAGGACACTTCCACTCCTTCCCTTCCACTCACGGCCTTTCCTTCAGCTCTAACTACCGACAGCGGAGCTGGTGGCACCCACAGGACTCCAAACTCTTCTGGTGAACTTGGTGTGCACCTGTTTCTTATCTCTTCTTCTTCCAGATGTTTTTCCTCCAAGGCAGAACCGCTGGCTGTGCGTCCCTCCGGGAGCGCTGCGGGTGTTTCCCGGAGCACAGGCTGGAGGCAGCAAGGTCCCTGGGAACAGAAGAGACACCATCTTCACTCTCCAGTCCATTTGCCCACTGCTCAGAAACAGCCCATACTATGACATGTATCTACCTTTCTCCAGGATTTACTGTGGGGCAGAAGATGGGGGAAGGCAGAGGGGGAATTTCCAGCCACAGCTTTATTAAACCACAGAGGAATTCCAACAAGCCCAACATCCCCTTTCCATCAGTGGCAGAGGATTCAAGGAGTCCTGCAGCAGGGCATGACCCAAGCAATGCTTCCCTACATCTGCCTTTCAGACACTGTTCCCATTGTATCTGATTTAACTGCCAACAATTAACTGATTTGCCAACTCCCTTTAGCTCATTTACACTCCTGGAGTCTCTGGTTTCTTCCAGCAGAGATTCCACAACTCACTGATGTGAGCTGAGAAAAGCTCTTTTCTTCAGTCCAAAGTTACTGCCCAATAAATTGTATTCCTCCCTGATGCCATCCCCCCCCCTTCTGGTACATCACCCACCTGCCTGTCCCATATCAGAACTTCCTATTCCAATCAAGAATTACATTTTATGTAATAATCCTCTGGATCTGGTAGGTCACAAGCAACCCTGGCTCCCTCAGCTCTGAGCCCTCCATTCTACAGAGAGCAGAAATAGTCATCTCCTCATTTAAAGGAGACAAGAGGAGGAAGTCCTGTCAAATCCAAGTGGAAGCTGCAGTCTGGGGTCACAGCTGCTGACTTTCAAGTGCTTATGAGGGATGTTCAGGGTGGGTTTAAGTGCCACCTCACCTGAGAGCCCTCAGTAGGCCATGATGGGGAGGCTTCATGTCACCACTCTGTGGGGACCTCGTTGATGCTCCAGAACTCACTGGGAGCTTCAGACTCTGGAGGTACCTAATGAGCAAGAGGAGATTCATGAACCACCCACATCCAGACTGGCTGTGCTGAGCCCCAGTGACAGACAGCTGAATGCATGATCTTGAAGGGTTAATTGCAGCTATTTGAGAGCTATTCAGGGCTTACTTTTCCTGCTATTCCCTTCTGTCAGACCTCACTCTATTCACATTTAATGATTGGGGATTTTAACTATTGCCTTGCTATGGAATTAATGACAGATCTTTACAATGCCTTTGCTCCCACCTCCCCACAGTGTACACACCCCTCTGTGCTGCTGCTGAAGGGAGAGAACTGAGACCCCACGTGCTGTGTAAACAGAGCTGATCACAGAGGAGATTTGGCTTCTGAGTCCCAGCTCACAGCAGTCCTGCTCTGCTCCTCTGGTGTCCCAAAGCTCCACACCCTCTGCTTGCCCCTGTTCCCAACTCTGCCTTCCCACTCTGCCAGCTCTGCCTCCCCCCCAGCACACCCAGCACCCTGGCAGCAGGAGGGATGGAGGTAACATTGCTTTATATCAGCTAGGAAAGAGACTTTTGTACAACCAAAACACCCGGGTGGCACTGCCAGGGCCTCTTGGGAGGGCAGTGAGAGCCACTAGAAAAGTTCCAGCCGTTCGCAGCGTCCCCAGGGAGCTGGAGATGCTCCAGCTCCTGAGTGCTGTCTGTCTGCTTGCCCCCTCCCCAAACAGCCCCCAGGGACACCCTGGGGACCCCCTGACTTACCCAGGCTTCCCCTGGCAGAAGGTGGCACAGATGTTGTCCCTGGAGTGCGAGCACTGGCACCTGCCCGGTGACCTCCTGCGCCGCCTGGGCGGGCTCCCCAGCCCGTAGGGAGCCGTGTGCCTGGGAAAAACAAAGGGATTCAGCCGTGCCACCAACTTTTTTATTAGCCTACAGGTTTACAGCACGGTCTTGGGAGGCAGCCAAGCCTGTGCCAGGATAATAAAAGACTCATCTGTAGACAGAAGGTGAAAAGGTCACTGATAGGTCTAAGCCTTTAAACTGCAGCTCCTCTCCCACCTCCTGTTTTCCCCACCCTACCCCTCCCAGGGAGATTGCCACGATGTGCCGGCTTGGAAGTGCAGTTCCCTCTCCCTGCAGCAGCCCAGGTGCCCGTGCAAGGGTTACCGCATGGGCTGGGCAGTTCAGCTGCGTGCCAGAGCACAGGAGGAGCAGGGCTGGCCCGGGCCGGCAGCCCCAGCCCGGCAGAGATGTCAGTGCCTTCCTTCCCCCGCGGGTTTAACACACGGGATATCGTACAAGGATATCTCGGGGCCAGGGGAGGTTCTGTGATCACAGTGTGCTCCCAGAGCTGTTAGCACATTCCCAGCTCCATCTCTGATGGCAATCTCCTCTCCCAGAGGGTTCAGGATTGGCAGTGACTGCAACTCTTCTCCGAGCAAGCAGCGAGTTGTAGTTTCATGTCAGCAAGCACGATTATAACCACACCTGAGCACATGTGTTATGCTCCAGTGTGATGGCCATTGGTCTGAAACTGCTGGGAAAGCTGCTTTAACATTCCTGAGGGCAGGACTTGGCAGCCACGGGCCCTTAGTGCCAGCCCACCACTGTCTCATTAACAATACTGGCAGGCAGCAGCCAGGGCTGCAGTTTGTGAGCGGGGAGAGCAACTTTCTGACTTGAAGCTACAAAATCTTGGTGTTAATTCGGGCTTGCAGAGGTACAAACCTCAGAGCCGCGAGGCAGCAGCGCCCTGTGCTTTCACCCCGATCCCTGGGGGTGAGACTGAACCTCCCGAGCAGAAGCACAGCCTGTCCCTTTCTAGGCTGAGCTCGCAATGTCCCCCGAGCAGGTGCTCCCGGAGCCTCCCAGCAGTGGGACCCTTCCCCCATC